TTAGTCTGTGTGTATTTGAGTGTTTGTGTGTGCGTGTGTGTGTGTGTGTGTGAGTCTGTGTGTGTGTGTGCATATGTGTTTATCTCTGTGTGTGTGTGTGTGTGTGTGTGCGCGCGCACATATATGTGTATTTGTGTGTGTGTGTGTGCGTTTTATTTGTGTGTATCTGTGTATGTTTCTGTTTTAGTTAGTCTGTGTGTATTTGAGTGTTTGTGTGTGCGTGTGTGTGTGTGTGTGTGAGTCTGTGTGTGTGTGTGCATATGTGTTTATCTCTGTGTGTGTGTGTGTGTGTGTGTGCGCGCGCACATATATGTGTATTTGTGTGTGTGTGTGTGCGTTTTATTTGTGTGTATCTGTGTATGTTTCTGTTTTAGTTAGTCTGTGTGTATTTGAGTGTTTGTGTGTGCGTGTGTGTGTGTGTGTGTGAGTCTGTGGGTATGTTTGAGCATGATTCTGTGTATGTTTGTTTGTGTGAGTGTGTCTATACATCTATGTGTGTGTCTGTATCTGTTTGTGTGAATGTTTGTGCGTGCGTGCGTGTGTGTGTGTGTGGGGGGGGGGGTATGTTTGAGCATGATTCTGTGTATGTTTGTGTGTGTGAGTGTGTCTATACATCTATGTGTGTATATGTATCTGTTTGTGTGTGTGTTTGTGCGTGTTTCTGTGTGTGTGTGTTTCCATCATGTGCCACGTCGCTCTTCCTCATACTTACCAAAAATACATCCCATTCATAAACTGAAACGTTTTCACTTCTTGTGAAATGCATTTCCTTGTAAATGAATCTAAATCTCCTCCCTGTTGTTCTACACTGGTCTGGATGACCTAAATATAGACACACAACAATATAGAATCTGCTTGAGTATTTATTCTTATTTCAAATATTAGTTCTATAAATAAGGTCTATAAGTAAATCACATTAAAAAGTAAACACTGCACACATTTCATTACAGTAATACGCAGTTAAGTCAGCATAACAGTTGTGTTTTTAACATGGTCAATATTTTTACATTTATTTTAAAAGGATTTGAGAATTAGGAAAATTAATAATACATTTTAGCTCTTTTAATATATTATTGACCTTCAAATGCTAATATAATTAAAAACAAGCGCAGAAAAAAAGCATATACACTCACCGGCCACTTTATTAGGTACACCTGTCCAACTGCTCGTTTATGCAAATTTCTAATCAGTCAATCACATGGCTGCACCTCAATGCACTTAAGCATGTAGACATGGTCAAGACGATCTGCTGTAGGTTAATCCAAGAATGAGGAAGAAAGGTGATTTAAGTTAATTTGAATGATTGTTGGTGCCTGATCTACTGGGATTTTCAAGCACAACCATCTCTTGGGTTTACAGAGAATGGTCTGAAAAGGAGAAAATATCCAGTGAGCGGCAGTTCTGTGGGCGCAAATGCCTTGTTGATGCCAGAGGTCAGAGGAGAATGGCCAGACTGGTTCCAGCTGATGGAAAGGCAACAGTAACTCAAATAAGCACTCGTTACAACCGAGGTCTGCAGAAGAGCATCTCTGAACACGTCCAACCTTGAGGCAGATGAGCTACAGCAGCAGAAGACCACACCGGGTGCCGCTCCTGTCAGCTAAAAACAGGAAACTGAGGCTACAATTCACACAGACTCACCAAAACTGGACAATAGAAGATTGGAGAAACGTTGCCTGCTCTGATGAGTCTCCATTTCTGCTGCCACATTCGGATGGTCGGGTCAGAATTTGGCGTCAACATCATGAAAGCATGGATCCATCCTATCTTGAATCAACAGTTCAGGTTGGTGGTGGTGGTGTAATGGTGTGGGGGAGATTTCCTTGCAACACTTTGGGCCAATTGGTACCAACTGAACATCGTGTCAACGCCACAGCCTACCTGAGTATTATTGCTGACCATGTCCATCCCTTTATGACTCCAGTGTCTCCATCTTCTTATGGCTACTTCCAGCAGGATAATACCATGTCATAAAGCTTGAATCATCTCAGACATGACAATGAGTTCACTGTACTCAAATGGCCTCCACAGTCACCAGAGCTCAAACTAATAGAGCATAATGGATGTTCAGCCAACAAATCTGTAGCAAATGTATAATGCTATCATGTAAATATGGAGTAAAATCTCTGAGGAATATTTCTAGTACCCTGTTGAATCTATACCACGAAAGATTAAGGCAGTTCTAAAAGCAAACAGAGGTCCAACCCGGTACTAGTAAGGTGTACCTAATAAAGTGGCAAGTGAGTGTAACTACATAATCAATTACCAAAAAAACTATTAAGAAAAACTAATTGGTCATACTATTTAACTTGTAATTTTCTAATTGAATTAAGTTTTAGTTTCTTGCTAAACATTTGAGATAAATATTTCCAACACAAAGTATTTTTCGCTACATTTTTACAATAAAATACTTGTTGTTGTAAATATTTATATTCTTATGTTCATACAGTATGTAATACTTATACTTTATACTCTAAATCAAGTATATTTTCACAGTAATTTACATTTTTGGCTGAAAAATTCGACGAAATTATGTACCACAGGAAAACCGTTACAACTCCGCCTGACCCTACAGTGGCGCTACACATTTCCCGCGCAAAACATCAGCCGCCGAACAAATTACAAAATAGAAGTCCGTCATAAATCACAATAAACCCCCGCCCTCCAACCCTAAGGATATTTTATTCTCTCAACTGTGTCAACACGGCCAATAAATCTTTCAAATATTTACAGAAGCCTAGTAACACTACATAACGTAAAAAGATACGGATATGTAAAGGTGTGTCTTCTGTTACAACCGGAAGCGGTACAGTGTTATGTGTGTATGTATGTGTGTCTGCGTTAACACGTCAATGAGTCCAGATGAATTCCTGAGTGCAGCAGGCCGAGAAGTTTCAGTCAGAACATTCGGGATTTGTCCGAATTCTGGATGTTGATGGTTTAATCTCCGTCGGAAGGTTTTATCGATTCATGCCCGGATCTGGAGCTCGTTTGGAGGAACCGCAGCGGCTGTTTTTGGCAGTTTTGTAGAGGCGGAGCGGCGGAAAATGCCTCTGTTTCCATGGAG